TAAACATTGCTGAACTGAATCTACATGGTCTCCTGGAGTTCCTTGGGCTAGGCCTGACAGTAATGCAGAAACTGAAAAGTGTTGCTTCTTACACCATGTACATACTACTATATATGTGACATATACATATACATGTATGTTCTACTTGGCAACATTCATATGATAAGACCATTTTATCTGTACCATTTAAGTACAGTGCAAGAATTTATGTCTAGAGTTATTAGCAGTTTAAATATTTTTCTTCTTGCAAATGTCTATCAACTCATAACCAAATGCTTATGTTGATCCTGTATGGAAACCTTGAATCAACATTAAATTAATTTCAAATGACTAATACTAAACTGAATGTAAAGTTACGGGTACTCATGTATTAATGGTGAAAAAACAGCTATGCGATTAACAAGATTCAGTATGAACAAAACAAGAGAAAAAAAGCATATCAGAAAATATTTAACTTCCCTGTACACTATTCATTTGATTTAAGTAAATTATTAATGTTAATTTCAATCTCTACAATTAAAAAAAATAAATGTATTTCTAAATATTACCTAAGAAACTTAATTATCGAACAGTTGGTGCCATGTATTATTTTGGACCATATTCATACACACTTTTTTAAATACAATCTATTTAAGTAAAATCACAATCTGGGAAGAGAGTATCTGTTGTTTCACTTTATAAATATGATGGTCTCATAAGGCATTCACATCCACATAGCTGAAAGAACAATTTTTGTACCTGAACTGTGCTGTCAACACACCAGGTGTCCCATAATTCATGCACTGGTGTAATGGGGGGGGGGGAGAACCTTCATTTTTCTTACACTGTAAATCCCCATATGGAAATCCACCCAGAGCTATATTAAAAATATTTGGGGGAACAGAAGAAGAAAGCACAGTGGTAGCCATCACAACTTTATCCTAGAATCTGTTCCTCAGTTAAAGGGAGGTTACCACCATTAGAGAAAACTTCACAAACTTTCCATCACAATATTATGGTTAAAAAAAACAACAACTTTATACCGGTAGTGGGAAAATTGTTTTATTTCTTATTCAAGAAGAAACCTTCTAGCAACCTTTCCTCTCTTTGTTTGGATTGAAACAGATTTTGCTTCAGTTTCATCAGACTGTAGTAATTTGTTGCTCAGCCCCTCCATATAACGAAATGGTATCATTCTAACATAGAAATAGACAAGGTGCGCCACCTTGTGTTTCAAATTTATGTGGTTCAACAGCATAGGCAGTTCATAATAAAACAAAAGCTTTTCTGAACTTCAGATTAGCTATTCTCATACCGTACATGACACTACACAAGCACTGTATTAAAATATTTAATTGTTGCTTTATGAAATTTGGACACTTTCCTTAATTTTGTTCTATATAGTTAAATGTATCATTTTAGTGTAACATTTTTGTCCTAAACCCACCAAATTGTGCAAGTTCTTCACAAAAATCATAGAGTTAGAATTGTTTTTGCACAACTTACCTTTGAATGTGTAATTGCTAGGGTATCCACCCAAACACGCCAGCCACCCCATTCATACTTGATTGCATGATAAAGTAGTATTCGAAAAATGGCATACACCATTTCTGTTATCTTCTGTTCATCAGAGCTTTGGGGATTAAAATAGCAAAGGGAAAGCATCCATTCCTGCCATACAGAACACTGTAGTAAACTCCTGAAAAATTGTCAACACATATTGCAAATTAACTTTGAAGAAAGCAAGAAAATGCAACTCAAAGACAACTAAAGTTTTGTCTTGAACATCAACAGGAATTCATAACATAAAAAACACCAAATACAACCTGCAATTGAATGAACCACACGGATAATTTGAGACCCAGTCTCTAGTTTAAAAACAACTTTTGCATCATACAGCTTGAAGAGACAGCTTTCTAAGCTATATTACTGTATATATAATGATCTTACCTCCTATTGTCCCTGCTGCTATTAAAAAGCTTAATCATGTCTGATAGGAAGACTCGGTGGACTTCCATGGTTTCTGAGCACTGTGGGGAATTACGCAGCAAAACAGCAATAACTTTCAAAACCTCTGTGGAAAACATAACATTTTAAAAAGTCAGCCTGAAAATAAGATTTTCACCTCCCTCATTCTAATTCCTCCTCCTTCCCCCCAAGTTAAAAAATGGCTACATGGGCATGCGAAGAGAAGCAAAGTATAACTTTTGAAATTATTCCTGGATCATTTTCTATAGTGCTTTCACCAAGACACTGAACTGTGGGTATTAAGTAATGGAAGATGACATATTGGTCATTCAGAAGAAATCTTTTTCCTTGTATCTTTATTCTGGTTTGGGTATCATGCACCTTAAAATGCAATTTATTCATAGAGCAACCTGCAAACGTCCAATACTTTTGTTAATTGCTTGTTGGGCACAAGTCGCCAAAAAGAAAAAAAATCTTATTGATGAGTTTCCCAAAGACATCTGGGTGACCACTACTAAGAGGCAGAAATCAGATAAGCTGGACAGTACATATTTATTGATGGGTAATGATTGCATTTTCAAGTATACTTTTATAGCAGAGAATATTATCAATTAAGACAAGATGATACTAAATTCAGACTAAATCCTTCTGTTGTAATTAGTAATAGCATTTTTGGAAAATTGTAAACGCTATATTATATTCTCTACATGCAGGCATTCCTCCATTCCCACAACTCATTTAACTGTATCTATTTGTCTTAGACAAATCTTAAAGTACTTTCAAGTTTAGTAGTGATAGTATCCCTTACTGTTCAATGTGAAGAACTGAATTTTATTATCCTATTGTTATAGCTGCATCTTTTCCCAGGATAGCATGGTTTAGCTCTCATATGTACAGGTTAACAACTCTCACACTGATCAAAAATTAAACTAACAAATCCTCAGAAAAGGGTAAAAGAATCAGTTCCTTAAAGAGTTGTAAACATGGTCATGTCCATACTTGCTCCAAAGCACATTCTGGGATCAAACCCAAAGTAATAAATAATTCTGTACTTACTATTCTTTGCCACAACAATCCTATGCAGGTATTTAATCAACAGATGTAATAGGTAAAACAATGATAAATATTTAAGGCCTCCCAATATAAAACAATGATAATGAAATTCTGTAGGCTGGATGCATTTTAACCTAAATACCGTTGCAAGCTTCCCTATGAACAAGAACTCTGATAAGACATGTTTCTAGATTGCTAAAATATTATAAATGCATCTGAATGAACTTGCTTAAAAACCTATTGCTGGGTTAGAGCTAAAAATGAGAAGGCTGTTGGTTATGGGGCTTCTGTGTATAGCCTCATTTCCACCAACATTTTAGCTGTCATCAGGTTAACAACTCTCACATTGATCAAAAATTAAACTAACTAACCATTCCACTGAAGTAACTTTCAAGTATCTGAGAAACTGAGGTATCAGGCCCTTTTTTCTCCAACAATGGTACACTTAATTTAGAATGGAAATTAATAATGAAATTAATTTCCAATGATATTATACCAAATTAAATTGTCAGATTTATGATAGAATTGAAACCGCTACTGAAGTCTAAATATCCTATTTCTAAAAAAAACTTTAAAAAATACTTCAAAGCGACAACACTTCCCAAGGTACCTATACAAACATAAATAAGAGAAAGAAATATGCTTTCTAGTACACTTTTATCCCTTTTTGAAACATATAAAGCACTATTTACAAGTCCTTTACAGTTTATCTCAAAGAAGCACCAATGCTTACGGGGATTTTGTATTTTCACTGTTGAATCTGGGTCAGGATGCTGTTTATGCATCACTTGGGTACAAATCTGCTCAATAAGTATCTGAAGAAAAAGAAAAAAGAACATGATATTAGGAAAAAATGTAATATTGAATTGAAATAATATTTTTAAGTGTTCCATTAATAACAGCCAGATTCTGATCTCTAAAATAATTATCTCAATAAATAAAATTAGCTCTAGATGACAAGCAGGAAGAATGACTTATTTCTAAGTAAATAAAATGCTTCATTATAATATTTTTCCTTGCTCAGGTAACACTGCCCACCTCAGATAGGAGGTAAGCTTAAAATAATAGGATACTCAATAGAAAAACAATAACAAAAATGTAATAAGTCTATGAAAGTCCATTTTAAAGACTAAACAGTTCATTCAAATAAATAAAAAGTATTAAAGCATCAAGAGGCTTATTACTGGACCATTCTGATGATAAACAACCCAAATTATTTGTTTATAATGGACAGCAACATTATACTCCTTTAGCTCTGGCACAGGAGAGTCAGAGCTACAAAATCAATTCTATGGGCAAAAGATGGAACAGAAATTGGAAGAAGTCAAAACAATTATTTTTAGGGTGTCTGTGGAGCTTCAGTTATATGACATTTCTTAAAGATCTAACATTTAGATGAATTGGTTAGAAGGGGTTCCAGATGGATTGCAAAAAGAAATGTGAGGGCCTCATGTGGCCTTGGGGCCTCAAATTGGCCACTCTTGTCTTAACTTGAAGAATGTTTCAGTGGTGCATTCCAAGGTTGTATAGCTGTCAGTTAACTGCCATAATAAAAACTTTTCATATCATCATCATCATCATCATCCTCATCATCAATCATCATCATCCTGCCATTTTAATATATATAACTCAAGGTGGCGAACATATCTAATACTCCTGCCTCTATTTTCCCCACAACACACACACACACACACACAAATGCACGTGCACACACACACATAGGCACATTATCATATCACATCATACCAATCTAAAACTTACTTTGGTAATATTGAAAGATCTGTTTGACAATAGAACTATTATTTTTTATTAAATTAACATTTTTATTCAAATTAAGTATTGAATTATTCAAGTTTTCTTTTTCAAGTTAAGCATTTATATTTGCTAACTGGTATTTTTCTGAAACAGAAATAAGAAATCCAAATTTTATTATCTGGAACAAATCAGCATATATTTAATTCCTCCTAACTACACATTTTAACTTTCTTACCTCAAAAAGTACATTGTATATAGTCATGGAAATTAAGTTTGTTTGAAGAGTAAGTCTCTCAGTCAGAAGAGAAAACAGTCCATGCCCAATCATAATTTCTGCTTTCCTCCTAAAATTAAAATGAAAATTAAATAAGAATAAGAATAAGAAATAACTTGTCAAATATGTTTTTGAGGAAATATCACTCACAATATTTAGACCAGAACCATCCTCCTTTTCTTCCCCATGCTCATTTATTTTATAGTCAACATTTTTATACTATGAAAAAGGAGAACTATAATTTTCCAAGTCTCAGCTCAGAGATGTTTGTTAATCAGAAAATTCCATTGTTCTTGTGGAAATTAAATCTCTATATTCAAATAATAAAACCTTTATAAAATAAAGGCATGCACACAATTGCTTGGAACACCCTGCTTTGCTTCTACTTTTTAGCAAGCAAACAAATCATAGTTAACAACAGCTTGTTATGTTTATATCAGGAAAAACTACGGTTAATAACTTCCAAACAACCCAGAATATGCAAATCAAATTTAAACTATGGTATCATGTTCTAGCTTCTTTGAAAGTCATAATAGATTTATGGTTTAGTTACAGTGAAAAACTATGGTTAACTATGGGGGAATATTAAAAGAAAAAAGTGTGGGTAAGACAAGTTTATGAATACTTGGCTAAGATCCAATTGTCTGTAAATTGCAATATCAGCAAAGATATTCTAATATTCTAGTTCATTTCTCTCTCTCTCTCTCTTAATCTCTCTTTCTATATATACAGTGTGTATATATACAGTATATACACACACACACACACACACGCACAC